AAAATTAATACAAAATAGTTAAAAGTTTAGAACTGACTAGACAAGAACTGTAGGTAGAGAGCAATATAAAAAATATATAGACAAGAGCGAAAAAATACTTCACAAAAGCTACACTTATGACTAGTTCCTTCATCCCAAAAAGATTATTCGAATTACTTTGAAGGCTATTTTATTTTTTCTTTATTTCATCATCTAATATTTAAAAAGCAAGAAAAAAAAAAAAATGATTGTAAAATTAAGTTATTTAAATGAAAGAAAAAAAAAAAAGAAAAGAAAAGCACTAAGTTTAAGTGTCAATATTTCTTACAATTCAAAAATTAGTGTCACACAGCCAATAACTAAATGGATTCTTAGGCATTTATATATGATACTAAGTATATTATATCACTTTTTCTAAAAAGTAATATATATATATATATATATATATATATATATATATATATATATATATAAAATTATAACATAAATATGTTAGAAAATCACTACAAAAAATAGCCAGTTTCAACACTTCTGGTGTCTTATCAACTCTTTATTCTACATTCAACACCATCACTTGATAAGACACCAGAAGTGTTGAAACATTATTATGTTATAATTTTCGGATAAATTATATTTTCTCTACTCTGTATTGAGCACTCTTAAGAATAGTATTTTTGGGTTACTGGAATTTATTCCATATACATCCTATACATGCGTGTGCGTGCGTGTGTGTGTGTGTGTGTGTGTGTGTGTGTGTGTATATATTTTAGTATTACTACTGTTAGTACTACTTTTGTTAATATCTTGCACTAAAATATTATATAACATACACTGTAAAACACAAATTTACTTAATTTAATCCAAATTATACATAGCTAAGAAAGAGTTTGCAAACTGAGAATAAATATGTCAAATCAATAGCCAAATTATCTCATTTCAACAATAAAATACTATTAATACCAATTTCTATCTATCAGAGATTATAAGAAATAAGTTATCAAACTACTTCTCAGTAATGAAAAGACATCTGAAAAGATTCAAAGATAAGTCTACCATTAAAAAAGGAAAAATAGAACAGTAATATGAGATACCAAAAAGTTATCAATCCAATCTTATGAAATATTTGTGGTATATCCTAGAGAAATGTAATACAACTCTGAGTTTAATGCACTAGTGAACTTCAGCATGACTTAATAATCCATGGTTTTAAGTATCTATACTAATGAATGGATCAGGAAAACCACAAGCAAACAGTTTAATTATTGAAAGATTATTTTGAAAGGTTAAACCACATTGCCTTAATAATAAATGAAAATTAAACAAATGTCAGTTCCAATTGCTTGAAATCAACCTTATCACACAATATTTTAGTCTGATAAATTATTGAGTAAATGCATCTTTATTCAAAGGTTTTTTTCCCCATTTGCAAATCAAGTCGAATATTCTACAAAATGCACATTATATGCTATTATACAGTTCTTTGTTTATATAAGTCAAAGATAGATTTTCCTAGATGCACTAAGCACAACAGTAGATACTTTAATCAAATTTCAGTTCAAAGAGAACAATAGATACCTCAGATGGAACCTAGACTCTTGTAAGCGCGCGCATATACAGACACAAAAATATATTTGATATATAGACTCAAAACTGTTGTAAAGATTAAAATGTACTCAATGAGTTCAGCTAACCTGTACAGTACAATGAAAATTATTTTTTAAGAGGGATTTTTTTTTGCTTTTTATTTATGAAATATATATATATATTAATGGGTACTAAAGCAAAATAAATGAAATGTTCAGCTATCAAATAAGAAAAAAGTGATAAAATATGCACTAGAAGTTTTTTTTTTTTAATAATAATAATGATACAAATGAATATTTGGGATAGATTTAATGGAGGTATGCAAGAAAAAAAAAATTATTTACACAATTTACTAAATTATAATTCTTTTCATTTAGTTCTATATATTTCTTTTAAAGATTTTAAGACATGCTATCTACTCAAAAAGAAATCTGCAAAACTGAACAGGAAAAAATTATAAAAAGATACAAGAGATTTGTGCTGAGAAAATAAATAAAATAAGAAAAATAAATGTATAACTATTTGTGAATGACTTAATTGACCTAAAATTGCCTCAATTTGTTTTTAATTACCAAAACTATATTAAAATGAATTTTATAATTATTGCCAAGGGGAGAAAAAAATAGCTTCTTAAATTACTTTTTATAATTTTTTTAAAAAGTAAACTAGCAAAGAAATGAGTAGGGGAATCAAACTTGAAAAATAGTGGGGAGTGGGAAGCTAAGTAGCTAACATTTCAATGTGTTTCATTAATCATATAAAAATTTGATCTAAAATATCAGATTTTGGAGAAAAAAAAAATTCAGACTTTGAACCCAAAGTATTGGGTAACAAAGCTATCATTACATGTAAGTCTCATGCAATTTCTTCATCACAATTCTCCTGATGGACTTTCAGTAAACTTACATGAATTGAAAAAAATATATTCTGAAAATAGTCTATAAAAATGTCAGCTTTAGGAATATATAGAGACAAAATAAAATTTACAATCTCAGTTAGGAGACTATTCTTTTTTTTAAATTTTACATTAATAATTCTAACACTCTTTTCCTTCCTTTTCAAGCAACTATTGCCTTTGTTTATTTTATAGCCAAGAAAAATGTCCCAAAATGTTTAGTGACAGAATTTATTCTCCACTAAACATTTTGGGACATTTTTTTGTTTCAAAAACTATAGCAAAAAATTACTAAGTTAATAATTAAAATCCACACTCAATATTGAGGCCATACATTTGTTCTGACAGTCTAATTATAATAATTTTGTATTATAAAACAAAACTTCACAGGGAAAATGCAATTAACATTTGCATAATCAAATCAGGACTTATCAAACTTGGAGAAATCCTTAAATATCACAAATAGCAATACAAAACAAAAGGAGAGAAAAGGATAAACTTAGTCAAGCATCTTTTAAAAAGTCATTCTTTAAAAAGAAAAAAAGTCTCCTGTAATAGTTACACTAATTGTAAAATAATAAACAGAAATTATGATTTCCTATTATTCAATCTGTTATTTTAGATCCAGACAAGGGTTATTTTTAAGCAATTAATGCCATTAATATTAGCAAATTGCTAACATTAATGACATTATTACAACATAAAAATGGCTAGCAACAGGCTTGCCATAAATAAATGAAAGCATAGATATCACATTTAATTGGAAAATGAATGAAGACATTTTGACATATCTCTGAACAATTAATGTAATCTACTTCATCTTTTAAGTTGCTTCTTATTGCTATAAATTCATTAAAAGATTAAATCAACAAATTCCTAGTTGCTAATTAAAAGCTAAAGTAAATTGTTCAGAAATATGTCCAGGTACAACAGCTTGTTCACATCAAGAATGCATACCATATTTAAAGAAGTTATTCAATTGTTTTAACCAATTGCATGGCAATCTTCAAATGGCTGAATATTAATTTTTAATCTAATATTTTTAATTTATTTTTACTGAAAAATTTTATGAAAACTGTCTTAATACATTTAAAGATAGAAATTTAATTACTTTTTAAAAATACATTAATCAAATAGAGAGAAACAAAATTAAAATCTATTAAATACAGAGAATTTCAAGAACTTTATGCAGTCAGATAAAGATTCTCCTCAGTTTTGTTTTAGTTTAAAAATGAGATTGAAAAAAGGTAAAATCAGAAACTTCTAAAAATCTTAGATTTTTTTTCTTTCATTTTTCTACTTTAAAGAAAATAGTCTTGTAATTTCTCAGCCAATATTTATTCCTAATTTTCATTTTGATACTTATTGTAACAGTTGCTTGACAATAACGCAAAATTCACATCACAAAAGTGGCCAACTGGTTTAACAGACAAAAAAAAAAAAAAAAAAAAAATCACAATGTGCAAAGAGAAATTTAGAAAAAAAAAAAAAAAAGACAAAGTGTTTTATCAATATTTTCATTAAACTCCTGTTGAGTAATTTCTTTTTCAATCTATTTCGAGCATTGTTCATGAAAGGAATAATTGTTTATAATCAGAAGCACCATTGCTAATATTCCCTTTCTCTTTAGTGTGCTGAAAATACAAAAAGGAAGTATACAGATATACAGCATAAAAGGTGAAAAGAATGCATGCAGCATGTTTCATTGAACAAGAACTTCCTTTTGTGTGAATATTTTTGCAGATTTACCAGTGGGGAAAGGTGGCATGTGTATTTGTGATTTTGCTTGCAAGCACATTTTGATTAATGTTCCCTATATCTTTATTTTTTTTCCCCTAACAGTCAATTTCAAGGACATAATTCCTCACTTGTACATAATACAACAAGCAATGTAGATAGGAATACTTAGTTGGATATATGGATATCATATGAGATATAACCCAGTATTATATATATATATATATATATATATATATATATATAAAGAATAAATCACGTGCCTATGAAAACCTGAGGATAACAAAAAAGGTTGAAACCAAGGTAGCGTGATTGGCTGATCTAATTTATGTATATATAATTTTCACATTATCAGAGATTCTTGTTTGAATTCCATTAAAGTAGTGCATATACATTATGGAATATAGCAAAGGAATTTTTTTTTATTTTCTTTGTTATTCATTGAATGTTAAACAACCTGCAGAATTCAGTAAAAGATTAATGCCTTAAAATGTGAAAAGACTTCAGTGACAATAAAATGTTCCCCCCCCCCTAGTTTTCAGGTAGATACTTTCAACTCCAAACATAAAAGTATGTGTTAAATAAAAGTGATTGGGTGAATGTGATTAACCAATGTGTGATAACTAAACACAAACTGATATGTGGGAGGAGTTGAAATGCTCAAGCCAAGAAATTGCTTTGAAAGTTTAGGATAAGAAAAAAAAATTTCTCCAACTGGATTAATGCAAAAATTCTTTTCAGTAATTTTTTTTAAAGCATGTTTTTTTTTTTTGTTTTTTGTTTTTTTTTAATGTGTGAGTATCTTTCATTTCACGCACAAAATGCCTCGAGCATTGATTAAGAATTGTTCAAAGTTTTGCAAAAAGGCAACTTTGTTTTGTCTGGTGATGACAAGTTTCAAAGATGAAGGTGTCAGCTGATTAAAAGCCTCAAGTAATCTCTCTTTGTACTCTTGTTCCTCCTGGCTATATAACAATTCAGTCACCAGATGGCGATACTTCTCCTAAGATGAAAGAAAAAAATAATTAAAAGAAATACCAATAAACAGAAATATAAAAATAAACCAAAGTATTAAATTTAAAGAGGAAAAAAAAACCCAAAAAAACTATGACTAAATTTTTGAGATTTTAAGTAACAAAAAAGAAAATATCTGTTCCTTCTATTAGTTGTCATTAATATGACATTGTGTTGAAATGGCTTTCAGTATTTTAGGTGGGAAGAATCACCTTTTGGGCTCATAAATAAATCTACAGAATAGAAAAAAAAAGAAAAAGAAAAAGGTGTGAGAATTCTATTTTATACTTTTTTTTTTTTTTAGCTATGATCAATATAAAAATCATTTTAAAATATACATAAAGCAAATTTTAAAATCAAATCTTCAAATTATTTAAAACCATAATTCTGATTCTGCATTTGTTTAGGTTACAATTCTAGACACTACGACCCCAAAAGGATAAAAAATGTACATCAATATACTTTCATTTCAATAAGTTGATTTAAAGTTACAAGCTAACAGACAATTTTATGTAAGCAAATGTAGTTTTAGGAATTTCTAAGAATTTAAATCATGTTTTATATACTTGATATTAGTGTGTATCAAAAGGACTGTTTTTCTCTGCTATTACTGTATACTTCCTCAGCAAGTTTTACAGTTTTAAAAAGGTATTTTTAGAGTTATAATAATATCCCGTTTTTTTCAAGGATTGACAAAAGAATTAAACACTATTTTATTAGATTATTTACAAGAATTTTATAAATGTTTTTATAAACTTGTATTTATAATAAATATTTATAAGCTTATAAAAACATTTGAACCAACTAGTGTAATATTCATTATTCACATTATAAAGAAATAACTGAAAACAAAATTTTTTTTATTCAGAAATTTATGATATTTGAACAAGAGAACCAGAAAATTTCAATAAACACAATGTCAAGTATTTGCATTTGCTCTCACCACATAAATTCACTAAAGTACAGTAGTCCACTACTATTAGGTGAATATTTTACCATGGTAGAAAAAGTTCCGGCAGGATTCAAAAGTGGATCTCAAGATTTTGCTCTTGTACCCTCAATAATGCTCACATTTTTTTTTTTTTTAGAAATTCCACCTTATTTTATCAACTCCTGGGCCATCTTCATGATAGACAGAACAAACAGTGATTATCAGATGAGTCTTAATTTGTTTTAATAATTACACCCCTTTTTCACACGTTTACCTTGATTTTGATGATTAAACAGGAAAAATATTGTTGAAATTTTAACATCAAAATAATTTCACATTTAATCCAATTGTATTATAACTAGCAGCATGGCCCGGCGTTGCCCGTGCTTGATTCAAAAATAGTACAACTAATACAGTAATCGCTATCACTTGACTTAAAATATTTTTGCCCTTCCTTGACTTTAGAGGAGTGCCCTTTGCTGTGCTGATGTTGTTATATGCCTTACTTCTTGCCTATATCACACTGCCAACTTTTTCTAAGCTCTATAGTAAACATTAAATCTGTTACGAAAAAAGAACTAAACAAAATAAACAATACGATCAGCTTTAAAAAACCGGAAAAAACATTAAGGGTTGACCGATTGTCGATTTGCACTCTGTTTGGGGGGTGCTCAGAGTTGAAACTTCACATGACGACTCCCAATGGCCTCTTCATAAATCCACTCGGTTTTCGCTAAAAACCGACATGTGGTTCAGACGCAATCTGGGCGCATCGGTTTTTGGGTTTTATCGATTTTCCGCGCTGCTTAGGGGTCCGTGGTCATGAAACTTCTGGACAACACTTCTAATGGTAGACTCTAAGAGGGTGTCAAATTTGGTTGAAATGCGATCATTCCTTCTGTAAGCAGAATTTTTTCGATTATCGATTTTTCGGAACCTGATTCGAACTCAATCATGTCCTTACGGCAGCCATTTGCAAACTTGTGTTGAAAACCGCATCGAAATCGGGTGAGAAATGTGGCCTGGGCAAGGTAACAACGCCCACGACAGACACACAGACAGACAACATGAGAAATATAGATAGTAGATAATTACACATGATTACTTTATATTTCTATTTCGCAGGAAATTGCAACCACTAGTAATATACAAAATATCTAAACGTAAAGTGTACACAGTAAAGGAAAAACAGCATTTGATAGATAGGATACGGAACAGTGAAATGAAGGCAAATATCAGCAGGGACACACTTGCTATGGAATAAACATTCACTTGTTTCGATTATTGCGTACGCACTGATACAAACACCACCAATAATGACTGCCATGCCGTAGCTGACAACAACATGAACGAGTCCAAACTTTTATTGTCGATAACTCCAAAATGGTAGATTTATAAAAATTTCTTTGTTATTTACAAATTAGGCATGTAAATTTAGAATAAAAAATTAACTGTTCAAGAAATTTTTATTAGATATTTAGTGTGGGGCTTAAAAAGTAAATTACCTGAAATTTCTTATGGAATCATTGGCATAAATTAGTATAATTTTTTGAGGTTCTTTTTGAGTCATCATCTACAGTATATATTGTAAAATAGGGCAAATAGGGCCCCAAAATCAGGTAGGTGTTTCAACCTCCTATTATCACCCTCCCCCATTACCAAGCAAGTATACAGTAATAACAGAAAAAGTCCTTTTGATACACCTTTTTTGCAAGTACATATGCAAAACTTTACTGAATCTTCCTTATTTAGGTAAAGCATTAAATTATTAACTTTTTGTTTAGAAATAGTAGCAATCATAGAGAAAATGTTTTATTTTAACTACATGAAAATAATAGGAAAAACATTTTAAATGACATTCTGTAACATAACTATGACTCCAAAACTCATTTATTTAGTTTACCCAATAAATAAGTAAACTAAATTTGAGAATCAAAAATTGAATATATAACATATTAATGCCAGATTTGTGCCATTTTTATTTTTTTTAAATTTAAGTGCACATTATAGTTTCACAAATCAATTTAGCATGGAAGGAGATAATTTGATCCTAGTATGAGGTGATGCTGAAGTGATCTCAGACCAAACAACTCCTCAAAATCTGACACAGCTGTTTGAGGTTTCCTATAACCCCACTGAACTTAAATAAAGTCAATTCAGGATTCCTATGGTAAAAATTTTCTTTCCTAAGTGAAAATCATTACAAAAATGTCAGCTTATTTTCTCTCAAAAAATGGATTTTCATACTTTTATAGGGGTAAAATATTGAAAAATGACTTATCATCTAAACAAATATCAAGGAAACTTTTGATCTGAACCCCATGAAACTAGGTATTTTCTGAAAGCAAAGGATATATTCTTTCATTTAAAAGTAAAATTAGCTGGCGTAAATGACAAAAAACTTTTTTTTCAGTGGGTAAAATGTGAAAAAAAATAGTGAAAATTTTGCATTTTTTTTCTTGTTCTAAACAAATATTTCCCCATTAATGGAAAATTAACATTTTTTTTTTTTTTTTTTTGAAAATCAGAAAGCCTAAACTATAATCAAACTATTTCAGGCATAAAATTGAGAGTTTTGAAGGAAATCAACATTCCTAGGGGTTCAAAATGCGACAAAATCCATTGGTAATTTTCAATTATATGACTGCCAAAGGTTAAAAAAATTTGACACCCGACCACGGAAATCTTTAGTAAAAAGCAAAAGATTTATCTGCAATTCCTAACCACCAGAAACCAAAAGTTTTTTTTTCTCCAAAAAATAGCAGCGATAAGGAAAATTAAACCTAATTGACTTTGACATCTAGGTCAAAGGTCAGCCAGCCATAAACGGTAAACCTTAGAACAAGTTGTAATAAAACCCACCACTCCCAGATAAAAGCAAAGAGTGCAAAAAAAAAAGGGTTCAACATTACTAGGGCTTGATATAACCTATGTTTGAACAATAGCTTGATGAGTTTTGTTTTTAACACCCCGTGACCCGGGTGATGACAACAACACTTAGACAACATTGTTTTTTTTCGCTGCATATCTTTCGTATTTCCCATTGCCGGTCCATTTAGCTGTTCCTTTTATTCAATGATGTTCATGCCAAATGAAAGAGAAAGGAATGAATTTTGAATGATGTTATTTTGAAGCGAAAATAAATATTTTTTCATTAAAAAAAAAAAAAAATTGGGCATAATTTCTTAATGCTAACCACCGAGTGACATTTTCCACAGCCAAATCAAAGATTAATTACCAGTGAATAACTCCATGTGCAAACAATAGCCGTCTGGATCCTATAACGTCACCCTAAAAGGTTCAGAAGTTTACTAATTGATCAAAAACCTGTTGCACATAATTGTATTTTTCAGGGTCAGTTTCCATTATTTCATCTTGATATTATCATTTTCGGTTACAGCCAAGTCATCAAGGATTCAAGAAAACAGTTTGGCATAGGTTTTCTTTAAGAACTTTACATTCTATGAGGTGTTTAAAATGTTACTGACGAATGAGATTTTTTGCCGAATATTTCGTTTACGCGCCATGTTGGATTTTCCTATATGACAAAAACAAGGCTTTTAAACAGCCGTGCTGACTGAACATCAGAATTTTGTTTGTTGAATCTTCTTGGTTGGGATGAGAGCACTTTAGCACCCCTCCTAACTGCCACCTGCAAAATCTACTAGAGAAGTATTGCTTCACAATTTAAGACATTCTTAAAATTTAGCAATTTGATTAACTGAGATATTTATAAATATCTGAAAGGGCTTGTTAAAATGCTTCCAATATGATAAAAGGTAAAAATCTGTCAATCCAAAATTTCAAATTACAATACAAGAATTATATACCTGATGACAGCAGATAAGGCAGAATAAAGTAGTGCTGGCTGTTTCTAAGAGATCCATATCAAAGCTCTCAAGCAACAGCAGTCGGAACACAACCTTTTAATTAAAAAAGAAAAATACATGTAAAAAGTTTTATTCTTGACCATTCTTTATAGTTGTAGAAAAAGAAATCCAGTTTTTGTATAATTACTTAACATTGATTTCTTATTAGATTTTTATAGATTTTTTTTACATCATTGTCTAACTTCTTAATAAATACTCTATTTGTAAATTTACTTCCAGTAGTTACATTTTGAAATATTTAAAAGCCAAATAGTTTGGTGATTTTGTTAATGCTTTTAATGTATTTTTAAAATCATAATTTGAATTATTTTAAATCTATACTTAAAATATTAATCAGAAAAATAATTCCTGTACTTGTTTAATGTCTGTCAAAATAAATACAAAAATTTATATTTTTAATTAAATAATTTAAAAGTTTGATGATGTTGGAAAATGAGTAGATTAAGCTGAATGATTAAACTGTTTATTATAAAAGAGAAAAGAACATATGAAAGAAAAGAAAAAAGAAAAAAAAGACTTACCTTAAGAAACAGCTCCATGGCCATATAAAGCTGAGATCCCTTCAGATCATTGCAGACTACATGAGATGCCAAAGCGGAAACTATCTCAAGGCACAGTTTGGTGATGTCTGGGCCATAGCTACAGACAAGGTTAAGGAGAACAGAATAGTTATCAAGCAATTTTACTTCCACAGGATTAACTTATATGTGGATAGAAAAACTAGTCATAAAATATTTTCAGCAGATAGATTATCAAAAGCTTCTGTAGATTTCATTCTATCAACTAAGAGATGTCTTTAAAACTCACACAGCTTCAGACTATATTCTTTGAAATCCTTGATAAATTTCTAAATTCGTTAGAAACAAAGAGTACTGAACTTATGTAATATCAGTCCTTATATATAGTAGTGAATGCTGGACAATCTCCTCACAGATGAAGAAACTTTAAGCAACAGAAATGTGGTTCTACAGAATGATGCTGAGAATATATGAGCAACGACAAAGTTTTAGAAAAAATGAAGACAAAAAGGACATTTTTCAAATCAGAAAGAGACAATTGAAATTTCTAGGGCACATAATGAGAATACAGGACAAATTGATAGCAAGAGGGACAGAGGAAAACAACACATAACCTATTTAATGAGCTTGAGTAAAATGGATGGTGAAGTAAGGTTTAGGAGAGATAACAAAAAGACAAAATTTATTAAAAGCTACAAAAGGACAAGATGGCAAGCCATGATCACCAATATCCTGAAGGGGCATGGCATATAAAAGAAAACTGTTTCTCAACAGGAAAAAGAAAAAAAAAATGAAGATACCTATTGATAGAGTTCACAACCTCTCCAGATAAGCTTCATGATTAAGAGGAATGTATATAAGAATGGAGAAAAATATTTAAGCAAATTGAATCTCTGGAAAGTAATAAAAACTGCTGCAACCAATGTTAAAGTTGAAACAAAAGAAAAGTTAACAATTGATAACTGAAAGACTGATGAAATCTTAAGAATCTCATTTACATTAAAAATAATAAAAATCTACTCTGGTATATGAACTATTGTATTGATCAAATATTCTTCTATAGCCTCTATAGTTTGGATTTATTTATAAATTATTGAAAATTTCTTTTGACTCAAAGAGTAGATCAGAAAAGAGAATCCATGGCATGACCCTGTTCTTATAAAACCCTGCTCACAAGAAAAGAAAAAAAAAAAAAAAAAAAATGAAAAGGGAATGCAGATGAAGTAACAAGGTGGTAGACCTGCACATCCCACTCCTTCTGGTAAAAAGATTACAAAAACGGAGTGGCCCAACTTTGAAAAACAAGACATGGCAAACACTCTGCCTCCCACATCCAACTGCAACCCCCACACACTCAGATAATTTCACTAATTTTTCACAAAAGAAAGATTTATTTAGCCCTATGTAGGAATAATAAATCTTGACATCCTCAAAATAAGTTATCAGTTTTATCATTAATGTTAGATATAAGCAGAAATTCACAAAACATTAATAGTATTAATATATCCAGAAATTATCAGTTGGTTAATACCAATTTTATTGTGAAAACAGACTTGCATATTAAGATTTAACAGTATAATATATTTAGAAAAAGGATACGCTGTCAGTCCAAGTTGTACAGAACCCATGAATGCTTTGAACAGATCGGAAGGTAGAAGACAGAATTTCTCTGGGTGGCATTCACCCAGGAAAGAGACAAGTTTAAAATACTGTGTACACAATGTAGGGAACTGAAAAGAAAAAAATTAACAATTAAAAGATTTTTAAGTAAAACATCTAAGAATTTATTTATTTATAAATATATCACATTTAACATCAGTAAATTTGTCCCAAATAATTAGGATTTTTTATGAAACTACATCAAAATATTTTTATATAATTTGCCACTGAATATAATAACAAAGAATATAATAAGCAAGAATATTTAAGCAAGAATATAACAAGCAAGAATACAAGAAATAACTTAAGCAAGAATATAACTTAAGCAAGAAATATAACTTAAGCAAGCAAGAATATAACTTAAGCAAGAATATAATGAAGAATTAAGCAAGAATATAACTTAAGCAAGAATTAACTTATCAAGAATATAACTTAAGCAAGAATATAAATTAAGCAAGAATATAACTTAAGCAAGAATATTTTTGATTACAAGAATATAAGCAAGAATATAACAGCAAGAATATTTACAAGAATATAACAAGAATTTTTTACAAGCAAGCAAGAATATAACTTAACAAGAATATAACTTAAACAAGAATATAACCAAACAAGCAAGAATATAAACAAGAATATAACTTAAGCAAGAATATAAACAAGAATATAACTTACAAGAATATAAGCAAAGAATATAACTTAAGCAAGAATATAACAAGAATTAAGCAAGAATATAACTTAAGCAAGAATATAACTTAAGCAAGAATATAACTTAAGCAAGAATATAACTTAAGCAAGAATATAACTTAAGCAAGAATATAAAACAAGAATATAACTTAAGCAAGAATATAACTTAAGCAAGAATATAACTTAAGCAAGAATATAACTTAAGCAAGAATATAACTTAAGCAAGAATATAACTTAAGCAAGAATATAACTTAAAGCAAGCAAGAAATATAAGCAAGAATATAACTTAAGCAAGAATATAACTTAAGCAAGAATATAACTTAAGCAAGAATATAACTTAAGCAAGAATATAACAAACAAGAATATAACTTAAGCAAGAATATAACTTAAGCAAGCAAGAATACTTAAGCAAAATTAAGCAAGAAATAACTTAACAAGAATAAGCAAAAGAATATAACTTAAGCAAGAAATATAGCAAGAATATAAGCAAGAATATAACTTAAGCAAGAATATAACTTAAGCAAGAATATAACTTTAAGCAAGAATATAACTTAAGCAAGAATATAACAAGAATATAACTTAAGCAAGAATATAACTTAAGCAAATATAACTTAAGCAAGAATATAACTTACATGAAGCAAGAATATAATAACAAGAATATAAATTAAGCAAGAATATAAACAAGAATATAAAAGCAAGAATATAACTTAAGCAAGAATATAACAAGCAAGAATATAACTTAAGCAAGAATATAACTTAAAAGCAAGAATATAAACAAGAATATAACTTAAGCAAGAATATAACTTAAGCAAGAATATAACAAGCAAGAATATAAGCAAGCAAGAATATAATAACAAGAATTAAAGCAAGAATATAACTTAAGCAAGAATATAACTTAAGCAAGAATAACTTAAGCAAGAATATAACTTAAGCAAGAATATAACTTAAGCAAGAATATAACCAAAGCAAGAATATAACAAGAATATAACTTAAGCAAGAATATAACTTAAGCAAGAATATAACTTAAGCAAGAATATAACTTAAGCAAGAATATAACTTAAGCAAGAATATAACTTAAGCAAGAATATAACTTAAGCAAGAATATAACTTAAGCAAGAATATAACTTAAGCAAGAATATAACTTAAGCAAGAATATAACTTATAAGAATATAAGCAAGAATATAATAAGCAACAAGAATATAAGCAAGAATATAACTTACAAGAATATAACTTAAACAAGAATATAACTTAAGCAAGAATATAACAAGAATATAACAAGCAAGAATATAACTTAAGCAAGAATAATAAGCAAGAATATAACTTAAGCAAGAATATAACTTAAGCAAGAATATAAGAATATAACTTACAAGAATAGCAAGAATATAACAAGAATATAACTTAAGCAAGAATATAACAAGAATTAAAGCAAGAATATAACTTAACAAGAATATTACAAGAATATAACTTAAGCAAGAATATAACTTAAGCAAGAATATAACTTAAGCAAAGAACTTAAGCAAGAATAACTTAAGCAAGAATATAACTTAAGCAAGAATATAACTTAAGAAATAATAAGCAAGAATTAAGCAAGAATATAACAAGAATATAACTTAAGCAAGAATATATAAGCAAGAATATAACTTAACAAGAAATCCAAGAATATAAAGCAAGAACTTACAAGAAGAAATAGCAAGAATATAAGACAAGAATATAAGCAAGAATATTTTAAAGCAAGAATATAACAAGAATATAAGCAAGAATATAACCAAGCAAGAATATAACAAGAATATAACTTAAGCAAGAATAGAACAAGAATAACTTAAGCAAGAATATAACTTAAACAAGAATATAACTTAAGCAAGAATATAACAACAAGAATATAACAAGAATATAAAGCAAGCAAGAATATAACTTAAGCAAGAAATAATAAGAATATAACTTAAGCAAGAATAACTTAAGCAAGAATATAACTTAAGCAAGCAAGAATATAACTTAAGCAAGAATATAACTTAAGCAAGAATATAACTTAAGCAAGAATATAACAAGCAAGAAATAATACAAGAATATAACTTACAAGAATATAACTTAAGCAAGAATATAACAAGAATATAAGCAAGAATATACTTACAAGAATATACTTACAAGAATATAACTTAAGCAAGAATATAACTTACAAGAATATAAACAAGAATATAACCAAGCAAGAATATAACTTAAGCAAGAATATAACTTAAGCAAGAATATAACTAAGCAAGAATTAAGCAAGAATATAAAACAAGAATATAACTTAAGCAAGAATATAACTTAAGCAAGAATATAACTTAAGCAAGAATATAAAGAATATAACTTAAGCAAGAATATAACTTACAAGAATATAACTTAAGAATATACCAAGCAAGAAGAATATAACTTAAGCAAGAATATAACCAAGCAAGAATATAACTTAAGCAAGAATATAACAAGCAAGAATATAACCAACAAGAATATAACCAAGCAAGAATATAACTTAAGCAAGAATATAAAAGCAAGAATATAATAAGCAAGAATATAACTTAAGCAAGAATATAACTTGCCCAAGCAAGAATATAACTTAAGCAAGAATATAACAAGCAAGAATATAACTTAAGCAAGAATATAACTTAAGCAAGAATATTTTAAGCAAGAAATTTTACAAGAATATAACTAAAGCAAGAATATAACTTAAGCAAGAATATTTTTTTTTTAAGCAAGAATATAACTTAAGCAAGAATATTTACAAGAATATAACTTACAAGAATATAAAAAAGAATATAACTTAAGCAAGAATATAACTTACAAGAATATAACTTAAGCAAGAATATTAGCAACAAGAATATAAAAGCAAGAATATAAGCAAGAATATAATAAACAATTTAAGCAAGAATATAACTTAAAAGAATATAACTTAAGCAAGAATATAAAAAAGAATATAACTTAAGGCAAGAATATAACTTAAGCAAGAATATAACTTAGCAAGAATATTCAGCAAGAATATAATTAGCAAGAATAAAAGAAAAGTTTAAAAGAATATAAAAAAAACTCAAGATTACAAAGAATAAATAAGCAAGAATATAACTTCAAGAATATAACTTTCAAGAATATAATTAAGCAAGATCAGTAAACATTTCTTTCAAGTAACTTACCAAGAAAAATACAAGAATATAACCTACAAGAATATAACTTGCAAGAATATAACTTACAAGTTTAAAGAATATAATACAAGAATAACTTAAGCAAGAATATAGACAAGAATACAAGAATATAACCAAGAATACAACAAGAATAACTTTCAAGAATCATAATTCATCAAGAATATAACTTGCTAAAGAATCCATTATGTTTTTCTTTCATCAAATTCTCAATCAATTAATTCAATATTAAACTGAATATAACAAGAAAAACCAAGAATGTGCTTAAAACTTTTAAAGTTAGCACTGAGCTCTTAAGTTTTAATCTCTCTTATTTTAGAGCAGTCACTTACAGAAAATAAAAGGATTATTCAAACAATGAAATAAGAAAATATAAAATAATTCAACATTTTCATAAATTATTATAAACCTTAAAAAAAAAATGATATTAACTTAAGCAATTCTGAACTCAAGCAGGAATAAATGATAATGTTCAGGCCAACAAGGACAACTGCTGCTGCTGAGACATGTGATGCTGGTGATTGAGAACTTTCTCCATCTGAAAATAAAAAGGAAAAAATAAATCCATTTCAAATTACCTTGCAATCTTTTTTTTCTCACACAAAAATTTATTTCTGCCTGAATTTCTGGGATGAGGAGTTACATATAAATTATTATCTTTGTTATCACATTTCAGCCATAGTGCCCTCCAAATTGACACAAACCTTTCATCAGGTTCATCTCAATTTGGCTAACCTATAGGAAATTTCAAACTGAACCCTTCATTTAATCTACAGAGATAGATTAATCTCATTCCACTGCCCATATTGGGATATCTTTTTTTCACTTAGGGAGAAGTTAATTTATTTTAGTACAGCTCTGTTATTGCTTGAAATATGAAATTTCCTTAATTTTTTTTTCACTGAGTTAAAGAATTACAATGGTGAAAGCAAGGTCAAAAAAAAAAAATTTAACCACATAAAAAGTATTTTATGTTTTAATTTTGATATTAGATCTTTTTTTCAATGTAAATTGGGAAATAATTGAATTCCACGTAAATGTAAATTATTTCAATTTTTCCTTCCCAGAACAAATTAGCCTTCATGGCAAATATCATTCATGTGACTCAACACAAAAGCTAAGTTAAGTTTAATCCAAAAATATTTTAAATAAACATTATATTGTCTAATTGATATTTAAAAAAATTTCAAAATAATTGTTTTTTTAAATGGAAAAATGGTCAATTTTCTTCTTTAACTAAAATTTCGGGCTATTAAAAAATGGAAAAAATACCCCAAAATACTTTGACCTTTCCTCTTAATGAATAACAAACATTTAGACGATAAATTTTTTTTTGTTTTGAAGAGTGTCTAAATTAAGGAGAATCCATTATGTTTTTCTTTCATCAAATTTCCTAAAGGTTTGAAAATAAAAGTTTTAAGAAAAAAAATAAAAATGGCCAACTATAAAACCTTAAAAGAAAACTTAAATATTTACTTTTCTTATGCATGTGATGCTGGTGATTGAGAACTTTCTCCATCTGAAAATAAAAAGGAAAAAATAAATCCATTTCAAATTTTTTAAAAAAAAATAAAGTGCCCTCCAAATTTAAAACTATAGGAAATTTCAAACTGAAATTTAAACAAAATTATATTCCTATCTTGTTTTTCAAAGTACAGCTCTGTTATTGCTTGTTCCATTTTCACTGAGTTAAAGAAAACCCAGAACATTTGAATTCTGCCAGCAAATTCATGACTCAACACTTTAATCCACCTGTCTATTGTCTGTGACACAATAATTGGAGTCTTCTTTAGGCTAAAAAAGTATTTCCTCCACTAAAGGTTTGAAGTTTTAAGAAAAATGAAAATGGCCAAGTGAAGACACTTAAATATTTACTTTTCCATTTAAGCATTAATTTTTAAAAAAATAAAAATTATTTAAAAACAAGTAAAAACAAAATAAACCTAACTTTTTCAAATAAATAACTTAGCCTAAAAAAAGACAAAGTTTGTGATACCAGAAATGACATTGAGTGTCAAAAATAATGTAATAGAGCCGAAGGAAAGGAAAAAAAAAATAGAGAGAGAGTATATGGAGACAAAATGAAAATGGAGACATCTGACATATACACATATGCATACACAAACACAAAGAGGAGAAAAATATTCAACTAAACACAAATAACACAAATTGATTTTTAACTTGGTATAAAATAGTAAAAATGAGAAAATCTGCAGTCAATTGCTGAAACCTCCTGTTGAGTGGACATAATGATTACAAAAAGTTTTATCTACAAAACTCCAGATGCTGAATACAACATCAGTGAAGGGATGAATTTTATATGTATTAATCCTATATATTACACACACACACAATATATAATTCAGAGCAGCATGAACCCATCCAGCCTTTATCTTAAATAACAACTTAAGAGACTGACCAAAATTTATGATTAAAAAAAAAAAAAAAAAAAAAAAAATGAAACTACAGATAAAGTTCATTTTCTCCAAGTCATTCATTCCTGTAGTTCACTGCTACTAACAAGCAGAAATATTTTTTCTCCTGATGATGGCCATGCTGGCTGAAACTATCCAAAGAATCTAATTGAAATAATAAAATGAAAAAATATTAATGTACAATCCAGTGTGTCTGAAAATTTTAATTTTTTAATATTTTTTTTTATTGTTCGAAACATGTAAGATTACAATAAAAACATGTTGAGATTGCTGCACAAAAGTTTTCATGTTTCAATACTTTGATTGTACTTATTCAGGTGATGGTAAGTAACTGGTGATTAAATGATTTTTAAGGAAATTTAAAAACTAATTGTTACCTCTTTCCCAAAAGTTAAGGGGTGAGGGACATAAGGTCAGAATTAAAATTAAACTTGTCAGTATGTCTTGATTAACCAATTAAATGTCAGGTCTACAATAGAAAAGTAAGTTCAGATGGTGGAGGTGGACAAGTTATTTTTTTCATGTCATGATAAACTGGGACATGTTTTTATTATAAACTTTTATAATAAAAATAATATTTTGGTCTACTTTGTATTGAGCACATTTTTAAAAGTAAATGCTACAAAGAGTGAAATTTTACTCCATCTGTTCTTTCTCTCATTTGGAGATTTTATATATATATATATATATATATATATATATATATATATATATATATATATGAAATTTTAAAACTTGGCATTATACTATTTATGTTTTATGATAAAATCAAGAAGCCAAATACAATCTTCAATTTGAGTAATAAAATTTTGAAAGCCTTGTGTATCATGTAATCATAACACAAATGTTATATTGCTGACCTTAAAAATTAGAAGGAATTACATCTAGTTTTTCATTTATTGATAACATTCAGAAGTCTGGTTGAAAGCATTAAGTCACAAATGTTTGGACAACACTTTCATTCACTAAATCTAGTGATGTGTTCTCTTGTACAAATTTGGCTTTGACCATTAATCAAATTTGTATTAAAGGACCGCATATGCACACATACATATGCGTTACATGAATAGTATAGCATTATTGAAATTTGTATAGCACTATAAAGATAGACACAACGGATCTCATATAATTGAATGGAAGATTAAAAAAAGTGAAAGCAAGTTCCATGAAATGTGGATTGTGTTTAGAAGAGAAGATGTACATAATTACTTTCCCTGATCAAGAAAGCCTCCTTAATAGAAAATCTTTGATTAGTAAGTGTAGGCATGAAAATAAGCATTTGCTGTGTTTGTTAGAGCCTGACTAAAAAGAAATTTGGGAAGTCCCTATTGTATAGATGCTGACTCTGACTGCCTCTAGCAAATGGAGCTAGGAGAGAAAGTGGTGGGCATAATCTGTAGCTGCAAGTTAATTAGTGCGTGAACAGTTAAATTTTCAGCGCATAAAACTGAAAGCTTGCTTTGTCCATAATTTTAATTGTTGGTCTGTACTCAACTATAGTAGCCCTATATGAAAACTGAACACCGTTTTTAAATACAACACATTATATTTACTGCTATTTATATATGTTTATTTTGCATTTATTAATCTATTGCTCTCTCACACACACACATATGTATGTATATATATATATATATCTCGGGTGCCTACAAAAGCATTGCCTCCATGTCTTCACACTCCTTTCTACCATACACCTTCCCTCCATTATACCCTTTCCTTCTTATAGCAGCAGTGGACAAACACATTAATTACACTCAGTAACTGCTACAGCCAGCAGCAGCTAGGGCGAACTGACAGACCACTACATAAAGGTTTGAAAATTTTAAGTAGCACCGATTGGACAATAACAGCCAATCAACAGGCGGTATTTTGGTGACAATGAAGAGCGACTGCAAGAGAAAAAATTATAGTCAGTTGCAGAGATGGATTGAATCTATGCAGACAGTCATGGTATATGCAAGAAAATATCTGGTAGAATGAGAAATCAGAAATAAGATGTATCCTGGCCATACAAAGGCTGAAGCATAGCAAGATCGGAGAAAACATATCCTTTGCCCATGACAATTAAAAAAAAAATAGTTCATCTTGATTCCGTTTGCCGAATGCAAGTCCAGAGAAGAGAAAATCTCCCATACAAAAAAAAAAAAAAATCTTAAATCCCACCTTCATTCCATGTGCTCAAAGAGGAATCCAGGAGTAGATGGTTCCAACTATATATTTATATATTCACCACCACCCTGTTGCGATGGCGTGAATTTAAACAAATATTTACAGACTAAGGGAGGTAACTCTAACTTCTCTTCATAGTTAAATCATATATATATATATATATATATATATATATATATATATATATATATATATATATATATATATATATATAATTTATTTAAGTAAATGCTCTGTTTATAAACAGAGCATTTACTTAAATACTTGTATCTATAAAAAAGAACGTTAAACATAAAAAAAAAAAAAAATGTCTTTAATAAATAAATTGTCGGACTTTGTCCATTTCTTAATATATATATATATATATGGTTGAATCAGACCAGGATATTAAAAAGTGTTCAATATACCTGTGAAAAAATAAAGTAAAAATAACATGTAAGAGGTTTTAACTTTAAAAATCAGGAGATCTGTTGAATCTACTACCTTGGTTTCAACCTTACGGTATCCTCAGGTGATTTTTATTTTGATAAAAATCCTGATTTTTAATATTTGTTTTAATTTCATTATAATGAAATATCACTAAACTCAAAAGATAAAAAGTAGTAGTAAAACTTAAAGTTATTAATCTTATATACTGACCGGGTCCACTGAAATCTATGAAATCCTTAGACAAGAGATGTGTTAGCAGTTCCATCAGCAAGAGGAGGTCATAGCATTTATCCTCCTCATCATCATTTATTTCAGCTATCCTCCGAGCTAAAAAAATAAATGTAACATACAGAAAAGTCAAAATATACAAACTGCAAAAGGTTTTCATGGTATTTCAAAAATTGTAACTTAAAGTTTTTAATCCTTACAAAAAAATACGCAGAATACTAATATAGATAAAATTTTCTATACAAGTCAGAGATATACATCAATTTTAAATATTCAAGTGCATTTTTAATTTTTGCTCAACTGATGCAATAAAGGATTTCATCTGACCAGCATGAAAAATGTTCTTATGAAATTTTTACATGTAAAATATTTAGAAATTGCAAATAAGTTCATTTCTTTTTAATGATCATACAGTTAAACAAGATTTTACTATGTTAAAAGCATTTTTCTTTATATATACTGAGTATATGATACAGAGACATAAAAAATTTACAAATTTTTTCAACAATTTATAGAATTTATAGAGGCATGTATAACCCAACTACTAACCAATATTATGCCTTGAATAAGTTTGTATAACAGACAGAGAGAGTTCATAGATCTTCTGGGAATCTGCCTGCAATGCAGAGAAAAAAATGATTAAATTCTTCCATGATTTTGAAAAGCACATTTGTAAAATATATTAAATATCTAAAAACTTGACGGATAAAAGCTATTACAAGAAAATGAAGAGGAAACTTTAGAGTATGCTAAAAATTTCAAATGGTAAACAATTTGACATCTCATATGTACAAATATATTTATTATAATCTTAAAAAGTAATAATAAAAGAGTAACATGGCTAACATGCTGGTACCTAAACATTAATCAACAAACACCATTTCATTTTACATTGACAAGAACAATTATTTTATTTTTGACTAGTATTTACTTTCATTTTAATTTTTAACTGAATTTCATCCCAATTTTATTCAGGCTGTCAATTTTATGACAGTGAACAGACAGCATGAATCAAAAATAAAGTATAAGCTTAGTGAGATTTGAATCTTTTTGTCTCATGGAAAGGCCACTTTTTTTTTACCATAACTCTACATTAACTGAAAGGTTTTGTAGAACAAGGTCTAATCTTTTAAATTCATTCAATGTTCTTTATCATCAGTATATTTGGATTTGTTTTTACATTTTTTTTTTTTATACCTTGTCTTTTCAGTACATGGACAATCATGTTTTCAGATTCCTTTTCTTTATCTTTAAATTGTCATGACACACTGGAAAAGATAATGGAGTGGTTTTCTTATTTAGAAGAGTTGCCACCTGCTAGAAAACATTTTTTTACCTGCTATTTAATCCACAACTGGGGGAGAGAACACATTCATGCATTCTCTTCCTAAAGGCACAAATACAAAAGTGAATGCAACAAGTAAGGCAAGAATTTGAACTCTGCTCATTGATTCCAATTCTTAACCTAATGGCTGTTGTACTTTACTGGAAATAATATTAACAGCATTAATTCTTCTCTTATTAGATAAACTTATTTTTTTGATTGATTTGTTTTCTATGATTTATCAACCCTTTGCAGGTTATTTAAAGCCAGAAAATAATTTTAGATTGTAAGAATATTTTTTTTTGGACATAATGATTTAGGAATACAAGTCTTACTAATTAACCCCTTTTTTTCAATAGTTAGAAGAACTCAGTTTGGTAGCTACAATTTATTCTAAATAAATTGTTTAATCTGTCAATTTGAAGTATTTAAACCAGTCCTTATATACCCATACATAAAAATTTTTTAAAAGGAATTTAAAATTCCTATTTATTTTAGAAACCCTATCTGGACAGGGAGTAACATCTTTAAATATTTTTATATTTGTAACATTGTAGTACTTTCTACATTTAAGCTGATAGCTTTTACATTCAATCAGAATGTGCTTAACCATCAGTCTAGTGCATCGAGATACATCTTCAACTTTTAGCAGGTATACACTAGTTAGTCTTGTATGTCCAATACAAACTCTAGTTAGCACAGTGCCCTCTCTTCACCCTTTTAGTGATTTGGTGTTTGTAAAATGTGACCCGTATCACTTACTATTTGCTTTTTATATAGTCATTAATTTTCTTTGTAAAATCTGTATACAGAATTTTTATATTAGTTATTTCCATGTTATGAGGTTTTCTTGCAAGTTCATCTACTTTCTCATTACCCTTTGTATTGGTATCCATGCTAAAACAATGGATTTTTTGTAATTTCACCAGATTGTCTACAGAATGTCTGCAACGTAAGAGTGGTTAATTGTTTATATTTCTTTTAGCGTAACCAGAGAGGATAGGAAGTCCATAAATATCACAAACGGCTTCTCTGCCAAGCCCATTATAAAGATCAAAGGCCATCACCAGGGCTTGCAATTCAGTTATAAAAATGAAAAACATTGGCAAAAACAATCTGATAATCACATGCATTTTAACTGCAATAGTTATTTCAAAGTTAAAGTTAACACTGAAAATTTAATGCTAAGATTTAGACTCCTAATTAATGTCTTGATATGCCTTTAAAAAAATATAGTGAAAGGAATTAACTTGAGCTTTTCTATAAATACTAAAATGTTTCAAGTGATATAAGAATACTTATTTTTAATACAAAACTTAATGGACAAGATACTTACTTCATTAAGGTAACAAAGTTGCCGTTGGATAACTTCAGAAAATAATTCAAGAACAAGTGGAACCACATCTTCATAATTGTGGTATAAATCTGAAGTACAAAACAAAGTTAGACTTAAAAAGAAGAGACAAACATATTTGACTAATTTAATAGTGTCTTGATCCTGTAAAAAAAAAAAGTCTTAGTATCAGGAAAAATATATAATGTACAAAACTTCTTGTGAAGCTGACCACCTTCCAACAAAACATTTACTTCAAAGATTTACCTCAACAAATGAGAGAAGACCCAAAACAAAAGATATTGATAATGGTTTACTACAATTCTCCAATATAGAAGAAACAGAAAGAGGAAAGAGAAATTTTAAGGAGGTTTACTTAGTTTAGTTTGGAGGATTAGTTCTGCATAAATATTTATCAGTTACTGCCTATCATAAAATCATAATTTTTTTTTTTCTTTTTAAGATGGTTAATGAGGGTTAGAGAATTATATATTTCCCTAATCCCTTCTACAAATAATAAGAAATTTTAGAAGCTTGATAGGATTTACACTACTTCATAAACGTTGAGCAACAAAACAACATGCCACTAAAGAATGCTTGGCCATAAAACAATAACAACTGCTACTTATATAAAACACAGGGATCAATACAAATTTGTATTAAAAATAGAATTCCTTGAAAAATTATCAGTGAGGAAATTTTACATCAGAAACAAGAATGTGGGAAAAAATTTTTTAGTATTAGTACAAACATGGAAGATTTTATTTAAAAGAAAAAATTATCTAAATATTAAAATACAACTGTGTATACGCAAGATGTCTGCTTTTGTATAGGACAAAATTCAACTGAAGAATATTTGGATCTATAAAAATGTCCGTTCCTCTCAATAAGTTTGTTTACAATAAGCTCTAAAATCTAAAGTTAACGAAACAGGAAATTTAATATCTCAAAACAATTATAAACTAAGCCTCTACCCTACATTCAAATACACAGAGAAAGCAAAATGTCATAACTTTGCTCTCAGTTTTGTTTTAATAATTAGTCATTTTTGTAAAATCAGCCTCATATATATATATATATATATATATATATATAATAAAAAGTTCAACTTCATTGAGAAAGGACACAGGCGTGCCTGAAAATTCTAATTTTTAACATTTCTCTCATGCTTCTATTTTGTCTAATGGCCTAATATACAATTAATATTATGACTTGTTTTTGAATCACTTTCATTGACCTACTACACTTACATTTTTGTAAAAAGCATATATAGGCAATTTTTCTCTACTATTGTGTGCATGTATATATATATATATATATATATATATGGTCATAAATGGAAACATGATAGAAATGTAAAAATTTGAATTTTCAGACATGTCTATGTCCTTTCTCAATGAAAAGGGAAATGTTGGGCTATATATATATATATATATATATATATATATATATATATATGTGTGTGTGTGTACACACACACACACACAATATGCTTCCATTAGCATTTTATAACCCAGTGAAAAGTGCATGTTTGGGCTGGTTTGTAAATGTTACAATTGATTGCTTTCATAGTAGAAACAGCCTTGTTATCTAGTGATATAAAATATGGGACTATTCAAATTTTTTTTTTTTTGTTTGCAAGCAAATTCAAAAGTTAAATATATGTATTAATCTTCAAAGAAGATAAACTTTATCAATTTATTAAAATCACACTAACTGATGTAAAAAAAATGATTTAAATTGATCAAAGTTAATAAACACTTAAAAATTAAAGTAAAGAGAGAAAACAATTGTATTCATTCCTATTCAAGGCCGTGGTTTAAAAACAAAGTAATGTGTTACTGTATATAGTGCCGATATTAAATATAATCAAGGCTGAAAATATACATTTATTATACAATAGAGAAAATAAATACAAACAAATTTAACTACATAAATCTATTTTGAAATTCATCTTGTAAGAAAAGCAAATAAATTATGACTAAGCAGCAAGGGTAACTGATGAAGCAATCTAATTTGGTAAACCATTGTTGGTTTTGTGCCAGTCTAGTTGAGTAAATCTTTATATCTAAATAGCAAACCAAAAAACAAATCACTAAATGAATTCTATTCACAAACACACACAACTTAAATGTGTCTACTTTTTGAGATTAGGTATCTTATTTACTAACACTTCTGTTGCTGTGGATATACTTATGTTTTTATGAAACTTATAATGCCTGCTGTTAATGCATATAGGCCATTCCATTTCAAAATCATCCAACAGCCACAGGTGACCATCTCAGAAATATCTAAAAATGTGTTCCTTGATTAAATTTGAGAAATTCCAAATATCAAATTTTATTTTTATTTTTTTTAAATCAGAGCATCTTGAAATTTCACTACATTTTTTGTTTTGCTAAATGAGGCTTTTAATGAGTTTATAACATTCATAGTTTCAAGGATATTGCATGTACAGATTTTGAAACTTGATGACTACTGTAGATTATTACAAAAATATAAACAGCTTAGGTGTGTCTTATGTATTTTTAAAAGGATCTGAAAATGGCCCAAATGCAAAAAATTATGTCCACTTTCAGAGCTTCTCGTTTACAAAGTATGTCAAATACAGCATCCAAATTAGTTTTCCTGTCTTATGATCTAATTAAGATTCTTTTTATGTCAGTGATTCTTTTGCCTAATTGGTTCCTCTCAGTTGAGTCTTCAAAGGATTTAATATATGGGCCTTTTTTCTTTCTTTTTTTAATTCCAAAGTTTCATTGATGATTTATTCTATTTAAGACTTGATTCAGCAAAATTAAAGAAATCTAGGATCTATAAATGAGAACTTTAGATTTCAAATCCTCATTTCCTTGTAGGTCACCAAAATGGAAAATAGTGCTTTATCACAGTGTACTCTTGGAAATACTTTGTAAGATATGGCAGTTCATGCATCCATTACTAAAGTGTTGACTTTTATAAAAGTAAAGTATGAAAACAGGAGAAAAGTAATTTATTCTAGTGACGGGATTGTAAGCCAATACATAAAAAAAAAATTTAATATTTTTGCTAACCTTTGCAACCATTATGATGATTATAGTCTGTTTAAACAGAGGCAACTTTTTGCTACTAGCCACAGGAAGAGACTGTGGGTAACTGCGAAAAGCTAGTAACTAGAGCAAGCCTGTGAGGCCCTGTTAATAACCAAATTCCTAACCTATGTGATATGTAAAGCTTGGCAAAAGATAACATACATGGTATTAAATTTTCTTTGTAACAGAAAATCAAATACAAAAGAAATTCTATTAAACTCAAATTGGCTGAACAGTTTGCTACCTATAAAACAATAGCTAGTATAAGATCATACCACAATTCTATTCCCTGTTCAAGAAATAGGATAGAATTGAGGCAAGTTTTACTTGATAAAGCATACTCTGTTGTTAATTCAGGTCCTGAGACTGAAAAACCAATGACTGTAGACTGGGAAGATTGTCAATTATATATGGGAAATATCAAAGACTGTTTGAATGAACATTCTGATGTCCTTGTTACATTTGTGAAAACATCTAAAACAAATTTACTATCATGGCCAGCAAGTAATCCAAATGATGCATACTGGATATCTGTACAACATATCTTGCACATCATTAGAGCAACTATTGCATAAGGTAAATGTTTTTGATACTATATTAATAAATCAAGTGACTAAAAAAAAATTTTAAATTAACAATCTATCCCCAAAATTTATGCAAAATAATTAACTTTTAAAACATTGCCAAATGCCCAGTTAATATTTTTTCTAATATATATGATTTACCATATTGTTATTCTCATGTATTGAAATTATCATTAGGTAAAATATTGACTTCTCACTGAAACCTGAGTATTTGTTTATTTCCTTTAAAAATATCCTTAATATGATTTTTGCCTTTGTGTCACATTTTCACTATTTAGACTTTATGTATTTAAAATTAAATCCTTATTTTATAGTCTTTGGTTTAGTTTCTCTGTTCAGTTAAATATTTTTGGAACAAAGGTAAAATGATGCTAGAATTTGCTTATTTGCATAAGAAATCATGTTGAAGGTACCAACTTTCAGCTTACAATTTTTTTTAAGTAGCAAATTTATATGGTGCCAAAAATCGACAAAACTATGATTTCAGCATGACAAGTTGTTCTAGAAAAATAGGTTTTAACCCTAGATAGAAGTTTGCCCACAAAACAGAACTGTCAAATGGTCTTCAGATATAAGAATGTGTGTTAATTCTCCTAATTGATCTAGGCAATTTTAAAGATATTTACAAAAAAAATTTTCAAACAGTAATGCTGACATTACTATAACAGGAATGAATATGGTTACTGAATAAGAATGTTCTATTAATTCAGTCACAGATGACCTAATTAATAGAACATTTGGAATTTGGATACTCTATTAGACATACTTTGTAAATGAGAAGCTCTCAATGTGTAGTGTCTTTTTGCATTTTGGCCATTTTCAAGTCCTTATAAAAAAATAAAAAGTACAACCAACAGTTGTCATCAATTTCAAATCTGTACATGCAACATCCTTGAAACTATGAATGTCAGAAACTTGTTAAAAGCCTTATTTAGTAAGACAAAAAATGCAGTGAAATTTCAAAGTGTTCTGATTTTAAAAAGATTAAAATGAGACAGATCTAACATTTGGGATTTATCAATAAATTTCATCAAGGAACACCTGCAAATGTACTTAAATTTTTCTGAGAGGAACCTGTGACCATTGATTGATCTGAGATGGAATGACCCACATATATGCTTTAAGGACACCATGAAATGTCAGTCCCTAGTGCTTGCATTATAAACTAATACTTAGTGCTATTTCCAAACCAGTGTAAATATAATAGATAACAACCTGTTACATATTTTTACTCTCTTGTGTATTGGAGGTATTGTTTAGCTTGGTCTCTATTGCAGAGCCTCTAGTCAAAACCAAAATGGCAGCACCCATGAGAAATTTGTTTCCAGTAAACAGCAATTTCCTATTTTTACCAAAATGGGCCAGCACAGCCAGGTAACAATGAAATTTCACATTTTGTTAAACTAATTTTAAATAAAAAAAATTTTTTTAAAATTTAAAATTTAAAAAAATTAAGGTACAAAAATGCCTAAATAATACTAATTTTTTAATTTAAGCCAAAATTGTATTCCAGCAAATAATTTTTATTAAATAAGTATATACTTTTTTTAATTATCAAAGACTTTAAAAATTGAACTCAGTAGTAAAATTAAAAACAAATCAAAATATACATTCTTAGTTACACTTTTTTCTTTTTAAAACAAAAGAAAAAAGTTTTTACTAAATCAACATAAAATTTTAACAGTAGTTTCACTATTAATATTTCAAGTGAGAGCTTTAGTACCCATCACCCAAATAAATCTATCAGAATAGAATGGAAAAAAAAAAGGCAAGAAAGTGAAAACAGAAGAAATAGCAAAGTGCAGTGGTGGTTAACATGACAAAGTATAGCAACTTCAAACAAAAATCAAATATATTCAGAATTAAGTGTGCATACATAAACACACACAAACATGAAGGAAAGTTCCCAGAAGAAAGGTTTCCAATTGAATGAGTCTATTTGCACACTTGTAATTCTTAAGAAACACTCATATTCTAATGTATTTTTTATGCAAGTCAAAATAAATGTAAGTCTCAAAAATTTCTTCAAGAAAAAAAAAAAAAAAAAAAAAGGATTAGAACAATAGGTTTTAATTAAAGTATTATTTTTAAATAACAAATATGCTATGAAGTGAAACAAATGTAGCTGGTGATCCCATAAAAAAAAAAAAAAAAAAAAAATTTACAAATCTTTATAGGTGAAAAAATTAATCTATGAAAGTACAGACATGTATAATACACATGCACTAGTTATCAGTAAATATATAAACTTGCCTTCAATTCAAAAAGGAATTTCAGCTTTTTCAAAAATCATCTATTAACCCTGAGGTACATTCAGTTGCAACTGACAAAGAGGAAAATTTAGTTCATCTAACAATGGTGTTTTAACAAGCTGGTTCAAGCTTGAGGAAAATAAGTGGGAATCAAGACAATGAGCAAGTCTTTAAGACCCTTTTTCATGCAGCAGTATGTAAACAATTGGAGAGCCCTAAAATTTGTTTATAATAATTTCCTGTATGTTTTTGTGTATCAAGCACAAATAGTTTTAAAATAAAAAAAAATGAAAATAAGCCTTTAAAAACAAAAATAAAAATATTTAAATCCCATAGCATGCAGCAGATGCATAAAAGTGCTTAAACCAATTCCAAGTGTACCCACTTACAGCTTAAAATTCAACTGTTTTTTTTTTCTTGATCTTAAAATAAAGAAAAAAAAAAAAAAAGATAAAGAAAAAATATCAGAGCACACGCTTTGTGGAAATGAGTGTGTTAGCATTAGGGTTAGAGTAAAGGAGTTTGTGCAGATCTTAGTTCACTAACCCTAGTGAGCAGCCGGAGACCTGTTTAAGCACTTCTGTGCATCCCAAGAACTGCATGTAACCAAGTCTGGCATCTTGAAGAAACATCTCCCATTCCAGCAGGAAGCTGCAGCAAAAGGCACATATAATTACACACACTAAAAGCAATCTTAAACTGCCATGATGAGTACATTGTTCCATCAATCTCCCCACAAACAGCATATCCTTCCTCATACAATGCTTAAAAGAAATTTTAAAAAAATAAAAAAATTTCTATTTTGGATAGACTAGCTTTGTTGAACACTTGTTTTTTTTTTTTGGTTATAGTTGCATGTAGTTTATGCACACTCAAAAAGGTTCCTTTGGTTGACAGTTTAATGGTAAATAACTTCTACAGTTGTGTACTACTTAAGAATTCATCAATATCTTATTAAATAAATGAGAAAGAGGCATCTCTCAAGAGTTAGTATATTTGAGAACATAATACCTACCTTCCCTCCCCCAAAAAGCCCAATGATGTATCTTGAGCTCTCTCTCTCTCTATATATATATAAGTAGGCTAATGCTTAACTGAATGCCATAAACTACTAGTACTTGGACATAGACTAAGTCCATAATACCATTATTAAATATTTGAGTTTTACATGCCATCAAATAAGGTAATGCATATTTCAGTTTTGATTTTAATAAAATCTTTGCATTTTTATAAGACAACAATATAAAGAAATGAATTAGCAAAAGTATAAATGTCTACTTATGACATAATATGAATGCAATTCAATAAACATTTGGAAATAATGTAACCTTCTTTGTTCTTTTTTTTTTAAAAAAAACAATATTTTAATGAGGAAGACCTTCATTTCTTTCCAGATACATTGATTTTATATTTTGGAAAATGGATCCATAAATCCTAACCTGAAATTTTCACTGCTTAATGTTTGATCTGTGATTACATGTTCTCTACTAAATTAAGCACACTGATAAGGAAGGAAATTATGTCAAAAATATTTTATTTAAAATAAATGCATTTATTCATTGTGCAGCTGCAAGCTTATTAATGTACCTACACATGTGGACTTAACATATTCAAAAAGTAACGAATATACAAATATAATCAGGCTATAGAAAAACAAATTTCATTCTAAAACGACATAAGAGCCTCAAACTCAAAAATGTGAACATTACAAAAATTCGTTGATTCTCATACCAATTTCCTTTTAAGTTTCAAATGAGCTGACCTGCTATTCAATATTTGAAATTTAACTGATTAGAATTTTAATTAAATTTTGTGCACAAGTGATTTACACTGTGAAATATCTTAAACTAAAATAGAATTGCCTATAATTTCAATGCTATCTTCATACTATATCAGGTATCATTAAATTTTATACATAAATTCTTGAAGAATTTCTGGTGTCGGTAAACTAACATAGGAAAATCTTTTACAGACAATCTCTAACAATTTATGAGAAATTGCTAACTTACCAGATTTCCTAACAGTAAATTTTATCACATATCAACACTATTCCTCTGATGCTTCAGTATTTTTTTTTTAAATCAACTATTTGAATAATAAATAGAGATTAATAATATGAAGAGCTGCAAATTATTTAAAACAATTCATGTAATTTCTCCATTTCAAATACATCTAAAATATCCAATTTTGATAATCAAGTGAATAATTTTAAAAAGTTATGAATTCAATTCAAATTGACTATTAAGAAAAAGATAAAAATGTTTGTAGCTTTGTCCCCCCCACTTAATCAACCTTTGTCAAGTTTATATATTGAACAGAAACATTTTTAAGAGGAGTTAATTGATAAACCAAGTGGTTAGGTTATAAATAAAATACGATGACAGCCTAGAAATTGTAAATGACAAGGTATATCCCCAGCATTGAAGATTAAGCAAATACATAAATATATACTGGTTTGTAAACATGAATAAATATATTACCTAAAATCTTTACACATTCCACCAATAATGGGTGTAGGAAATTGAACAGATGATGAACAATATCAACACGAGAAGCTAGTGCAACACCACACATGGACTCAAGAAGGTTGAGAATGTCTGACTTGACACCAGCCGTGTGGCAAACTTTGCCAAAGTCTGCATGTGAAACAGTTTGATAAAAACGATCATGAAGAGATTGCAGAACCTATAATAAAAAAAAAAAAAAAAAAAAAAAAAAACAAGGCAAAAAAAAAAAATTGAAGACAATGTGCAAAGTGAGAAAAAAAAAATTATTTCACATTGAGACAGCAATATTTCTAACATAATTCCAAATAAAATAGTACAGACAAAATATCTGACGATAAAAAAAACAAAAAAAAACACACAAACACACAAAATGATTGTTGTCTCATTAGCCCCTTCCCCACCAATTATTTTGAGAAAAACGTTTCATTTTCAGACAATTTTTTTTGTTGTTTTTTTTTAATATACTAAGAAACCTAGGCACCTTGAATTACACAAGCAGTGGCTAACACCTCTGCCAGACATAAGAGTTGACAATTGGACACATTTCAAATTCAGAAGAGCATAAAAAGAATCAAGATCAATGTATAAACGTGTCTGTAACTGGTTTTTGAATATTATGTTTTGAATATGTTTATTCATCAGTGTCTGAAAGACACTTTTGGTAAAAAACATATACACATCTATGCGGGGGAAGGGATTAATTGTACATTGTTGAATTGTCAACTCACAAATGAGCATGGGCTCTAAGATGGTTCTTAGGATATTCATGGCTTGAAACATGTCATACATAGGTCACCTTACCAGGATTTATTGGCTCAAATCAAGTAATAACATACTCATGCACCTTCATGTGTCTTTTTAGACCTGGACTGAATTTACAGATTTCTGACATGTGTATACGTGTGTGTACACAGGCAAATAGCAAAATAAAAAAATATATCTCGAATCACTAGTTATTAATCCATTAACTGTGGACAGGATGTTTTGTTTTTGCAGTTTTATGGTTCAACTTTGTATAACTTTATTTTCAGCTTTAGTTAAGAGGTTAAATACAGGCAAGTTAATATTAATTTACTATGATCAAAAACTGAAGGACAGAGCCAACATCATTAGCATTCCTTCATAATGGTTTTTTTTTGTTTTTGTTTTTATTTTTACTACATGGTCATTTATTATTAAATGTTATTAAAGAGAGTGATCAGATCGTCTCCTTAGACAATTAAAAACCTATTTTCATGCCAATCAATTTTTTTTCAAGCACTGAGTTAACACCAAATACTTTTTATGAAACTTCTTTATCAATATTGGGTACTGTTCTATACTTAAAGTTCAAAGATGTTCATGCACAAAATGAACATTCCACACACATATATATATAGGTGCATCAATAAGTCCACAGCCTTGTGATGATAAAAAGCATTTATTTTATGCATTTTTCAGCAATCTCCTATTTTGTCAATAAACTCAACATTTATCCACTAATTACATAAGCTGAACATTACACATTCCGGTAACAACTGTTAGACTATGGACTTACTGATCAACCTTATAAAAGAAAGTTACATACATATTTCCAATATTCGTCTTTCTGTGGAGAATCCATAGACGCTGTGCCTGCTAACACAAGTCCTTTCAAAAGATACCGTTTACATGTTGGTGACAGCATTATTAATGGTGGTTGGTTGCTAGCTTCAAGTTTGGCAAGGTCCCACAAGTGTTTGCATTTCACCACAAGATCACATCTGAAAAATTAAACAGTAACAAATGATAAGCTTAAAAGTTAAATTGTAAAAGCATCAGTGATCATGATCTCTCTCTAATTTGGAGTTGTCTTGATTACTAAATACATATTTACAAAAAAATAAAAATGTTTTGATATGAAGTGGGTGCTGAAAGTTCTCAGCCCAAAATTTGATCAAATGACTAAACATCTGAATATTTTTTGGTATCCCCTCTTGGTCAATTAAATTTATACCAGACATCAAGTGGAACTCATACAAAGAAAGTGTCACTATCTTAAAAAAAAAAAAAAAAAATGAACAGTAACAATCAAGAAGTTGTTATTGGTAGAATAAAAAAATTCTGTATTAATATTTTACTTGTTTGCAAATATGAGTTATGATTTTCTGTATAGGATCAAAGTAATATCTGCCAAATCTCCATCCCTTCAAAACTAGAGTCAATTATGCTTTTTGACTGAGGCCCTTAGATAATATTAAATGGGAATGAATTGGGAAAGTGAAGAAGATAGAAAAAAGGTAACAAAACTAAAGAAAAATTAAGAGAAAACCAAATGAAAGGATTACAGAAGATGCAAGCAAAGTGTAATGAAAAAGCAGAGGCAAGAGAAAATAGATAATCTTACAATGCCTATGGAATTACAATGGGATGCAGGTAGTAAAAATATAAATAAAACAAATATACTTTTTGTTAAAAGGGGATACACCTTAATTATTTGCAAGTAGGGAAAATTATAAAAAATTATTTTAAAATTGAAAGTGATTTGAAATATTATTGCTAATCAAAATCTTTGAAGAGTAGCAAATCAAAGAGTAACAAGGTAAATTGTAATTTTTTAAGCTCTCAAATTTTCATAAAACTACAAGTTTTATCTAAAAATATTTTTTTTTCTTTAACTATCAATGTTGATACATTGATCTGTTTATGTTTTTTACTATAAGTTAGAATTAAAAAAAAATTCTTTATTAGTAATAATCTTCTGCAATATATATCACTAGATTTTGAATTACACAAATGTAAAAAAAATTTGAGTACATTTTCAGTGACATAAAATGCAGTGCAGTTTTTGTGTATTTTTGACTGACAGCACAATTTAAGACAGCAAACAAAACCCAATAAAACCTTTAATAGGTCTTGAAAAATAAAAAATTAGGCAAGGCAGTCATAATGAAGCAAAACATGAAAGTTGTCATAAATAATTTGACAATTTTCTTTCCATAATTTAGAATGAATTACATAAGGAAGTGTAAATTAAGTTTTAATTTTTCAACTCATTTCTTCTGTTACTTTTTATCACAACCTTAAGATTGTTATTCTTTAGTCATAAGTCAACAATGCAGATCAAAAAATCAAGTATAATCCTTGAGAAAAATTAATTCATTTTAATCACAAGTCTGAAACCATTATTCTAAGTTTCACAAATAAAAAGTAAAGAATATGCCTCTAGTCAGATTTAAACCCACTTCTTTTCTTTGGAAAAACTATCTGAAACATGAATGATGAAGCCATTCTAGCTACGGTCATTCACTTTAAATTTTTCAAATCAATATTTGAACCTGGTTTGGGTTGGTTGTTTTACCCGCATATCAACCCTCTTGGGTCATTTATTGCTCAAAATTGGATTTTTATTCAATAATATATTAGGAAGTTTTAAGTTTTATAATTCATAAAGTATAGTTGAAAACTGGTTGTATTTCGTCTATAGGTGAAACTGTCTAGTTAAAATTTGGCATATAATTTAGTTTTCCTCAAGGAAGTCACATATCTGGCCAGTATTGTTTGGTGGCACTAACTTCTGCATCAGCTGGTTTTAAAACTTTCATTACCAAATTACTTATAACCTTTTGACTACAGGTGTTTCAGAAAATTTCACTTGATTTAAGTTTTTCTTTAATCAAAATGTAGGTATTTTAAAGGTAGGATGAAATATTGGGTTAAGTGTATTTTAATGTAATTATGAGTAATATGGAGAAAAAAAAAAAAAAAAAAAAAAAAATCACTTATTTGGCATCCCTCAAGCCTGAATGATGCTGGATTAGTGATGATCGACATTTAACACTTTCATTTTTATTTCCATCGCTTTTTATCACTACTCTCAGACAGTTGTCAGTACACAATGTAAATTGAAACTAAGTAAGCTATCAGCAAGACTCAAAAATGCTTTTTAATCACAGTCAAACCATAAATTGTTGACAGTCTGAGATTTGTGACTAAAATTTAGAGTAATGTTTGTCAAAAAGTTAAAAAATTAATACTTATCAATGCTTCATCTAAAAAATTAAAAAATATCACTGAAAGTGTAAATTTGACAAATTTTTAATTCAAGAAAGAAAGAAAGAAAGATATATATATATATATATATATATATATATATATATATATATAAATGGATTAAAAAAATAATTACATACCTTGGTTTATTTTCAACAAGTGCAACAAACAATTGCAAAGAATCATTCATTAATTGTTCTTCAGCACTCCAGACTGATAAGTTAGAATTGATCTTTCCAAGCAGAAAGTCTACAGTCCACTGAGCTGCTGCTGTATCACGACCAAAAGCAGATGCTATAGCCATACTTATCTGAAATTTTTTAAATATTTAAATTTTAACAATTTTTTAAAAAGATTCTGTACATACAACATTACCTCGAGTTTAAATTTGAATTTTATTAAAAAGATCAAATTTCTAACAAAATAATTTCCTTTTTACGAGTTTGGAATATTAATCTGGACAATACTATAATTTTATAGGCAGATAGTCAAATATAAACTTTGTGATATGTATTTTTATACAATGCAAGTAAAAAAATAATTTTAAAAATATCTACATGTAAAAAAACATTTTTTTAAAAATTTTATCAATACTTTTTAATACTGTATGATCAGAAAATCTATAACTGATCAACTGCTTTATTGCTAATGAGAAAAAAAACGTGTGTAGTCCGATGATGCCATTATGCAATCCATACTGTTTTTAGTCTGGTTTATTTTGTTTTAATGCATATCAACCTCAAAGGGTTATTTAATGCAGACAAGATTTTTAGAATAGGTTTGTATGAATAGAATGTATTCTTTGTAAGAAATCAGTTTGTAGATCAGGTTTCCTTGGCATAATTTTGTAAAGAGGTTTTTTGTCAAGAATCAAATGTATTTTCTGGTCATATTTTTTTTTCTTTTCTTCTTTCCAAAATGTTTTTCTGGTCATTTTTTTCTTTTTTTCCAAAATGTATTGATGGTATTTTTATTATAAAAATCTATTTTATACATTCATCTTTTGACCAGAGTTTGGAGGGTTCACTATTTGCCCATAGCTAGGACTCCAACAAGTGCTACCACCCCAGCTCAGGGTGGACCTGGGAACAGAAATTTAGAGGTGGTTCCACACTCCTCAAAATTCCCTTGATGCCAGATGTAATTTATAGTCAAACCCAGGACTCTACAAGAAATTAAGCATTCTCTCCACATAAATAAAGCAAAGTATGGTGTTGAAAAGTTCTTGGCATTACCCACTTTCTAAAAGTCACTGAGCACCCTCCTCAAATTAATATATTACTACTTCACTTACCTGGTTATAGTAACTTTCATCAGGGACCAAGTAGGATACAGTCCATCGTTGTAAGAACCACATAATTGTACTGCCAACTTGAGGACTGAGACAATCGGCCAAACGAGCTTCAATGGCACGTCTGTGAACATCACAAACTCTTAATACTGCAGAGATCAACCTACCAATAAAAATGAAGAGTCTCAAATGGAAAATATCTTAAGTTTAGGTTGTAATTAACAAGTGACTCAAAATTACCCAAGAGTTTATGTTATCAATTTTCAAATAGTGGACAGAATTCCAATCATTTACTTAACTAAAACAATTTATTTTTTGTGATTTTTTTCCTGTTATTGAAGTTTTATAACTTTATTTAGCTATTAGAGTCCATTCATGTTAAATATTAATGGTTGCATAGGAGGAAATTAGAGCAAACTATTTCTTTTTTTAAATATTAGACCTAGACATGTGCCAACTTTAAATTTTAGAATATCCTGAAATGTTATCAATGAACCATAATCTGTGATAGATTGAACTGGTTACGCATTTGAATCACAGTGAGCTAATGCAAACTGCCATTAGAATGCCTTTAGTCAGCGGTTTATCTATTTTTAATGCAGCATCTCTACAACTTGAGACTACTTAAAAACAAAGCCTTACAACTTTCACTTGAAATGTTACTTTGATACAGGACTTGTTTCCTTCTGCATAATTTTTTTTTCAATACTAAATTACTACTAACTAGGTCTTCTGTCCCCAGGTGTCATCATAGGGGTTTTGATTGTGCATATATTAAGAGACAAGACATTACTCTATATGTTCCCACAGTTACCATCAGACTGAATATCTAGGTCTTTCATTGCTCAGTATGAAGGATATTTGCACATTAGATTCTGCCATTGACCACATCCTGCTGCCAATGTTTTCACCATAACCCTGGCAGGGGTGACTTCTGAGTGCTGTACCTTGTAGCGACTATGGGCAACCCAGAATTTGTTCCCAGGGCCACAAACACTGAATTTAGAGTTGTCATCTTCCTTGACTGATTGCTAGAAAATCCAGTCTCCTCTGCTATTTAACCCATAGCTGGGAGGTAGAAGAGATAGATTTATACTTTTGCCAAGGGTATTTGCACATAAGTGAATATAACAAACTCAACTGGAATTCAAACATGGCTCTTCCATTTCTCATTCCGGGCCACTATCCCATTACACTACATGCAACATTTACATTATTATAACTCTTAAAAATTATAAGTTTTATTTAGAATATTGTATTAATATTGCACAAAATCATATCCAAGTTCTATTCACTCTAAAATAACAGATCAATTTTAAGTGTTTTGCCTATGAAAAAAAAAAATTCAAATTCATAATTATGTTTATATATTAATATGAAAGCATTATTTTTGTACATTAAGTCTGCAGCCTAATAAAATTATTTTGCTCAAAATCCCACAAACTGAACTTTATACATTTACAGATCATAATTCAACTAATAACTATCAAACTACAGATTTATTGATCCATCTTTGTCATTATGATTGAAATTAATACACTAGACAAACCATATACTCATTAAAGTAAACATTAAAATTCAAATTATCTGAGATTAAAAAGATTTTAATCTTTATAGCCAAATGTTAATCAATATTAAATAAGTCATATATATTCAAAGAACTTAAAACGATTACTTGGTTACTTATTTTAGTGCATCATTTTTACTACATGATGAAAGCAATGTTTGATGCATGATGTTAACAAATCAGCCATAAATAAACAGCGACATTTTATAGTCATCTGTCACTTACCTTAATGCCAACTTAGACTGTTTTTACATTTGCATAAGTAATTGTTTGAAGTAACACATTAATTGAAATAAGTGATGTGTAATTTGTTGTGTTAAATAATAAACAAGCAAACTTCTGCTTAAAAACGTTTAATACCAAAAGACTAGCAGTCTAAAAACATTTTTTTTTCAATAATGTTTAAATACTTATTGTTAAACAATTGAATCATTGAGTTTCCAAAGAGCTCAACACCATTTTTCTGATATTTAGGTTAATATATGAAATGAGGTACCAGCATGATCTGAAAGAAATATCCAATTTTATACAAGAAAAGTTGTAACTCCAAGAGTTATGATTAAAGATTTCACAATCATTACATTAAGGTTAAGAAAAATACTGCTGCAAGAATGTTCATTGAAAATAAGACAGCATTGCACAAGAGGAAAGCCAATATATTGTATGAAAGAATGAATGTTCAGAACTGGTAAAATAAACAATGTACAGTTTGCTAATGCCTTGATTTCATGCAAAATATCCTATTCTCTTATTTGCCAACGAGATACGTTCTAATCAAAACGACTCTGGCTGTTTGTCTTTTATTCTGCCAAATCTGGGAAAGGTAAAATATACATCTGGTCAGAGACATGTGCTTAGTGCAGTGTTAATGAAGTAAGTAGTCATTTCATATCAATGTTTGTTCCAGAAACTGCAAGAAAACTGTTTGACATATGGCTGTAGGGAGGCAAAACCATAACCATGCAGTTTTTCTATGCAATAATCATTACTGCTAATATTATAAGGAAACATTTGGCATTCATTAATCAAGCAGCCAGTGTTATTCTTGATTGAAATATATTTCTATTAAAACAATTTTTCTGGAAAATAAGTTTCTCAAGTCCAGTAATAGTTATCACTCATTCCACCATTGGGGGTGCTTCCTTACCAACCTTTTGTTTTAAATAGTGTGTCAACATCTTGATTATGTCATGCCATTTTAATCTGTTGGTTCAAGGCTCCAAATGAGGGGACACAACTACCTACCATATGACAAGAGATTTTTGTCAAATAGAGAAAGATCAAAGAAAACAAGAAACTATCAAGCTTTACAATTCCTGGGATGAAATGATAGCAGAATTGTTTGAGATGAAGCTAATGACTGGAGTGGATATGCAAGCATTTTTTAAAAAATTAAACAAATCCACAAGCAAAGAAATTTTTAGTCACAAAATACAAACTGTTCACTTTCTCCAAGGAGAATAAGTATTGTAAAGAAAATAAAAATTGTTTATTTTAAAAATAAATGATTTTTCTTTCTCCTGCAAAAAATAAAAATATTGTTTTGAGTTAGAACCTTTGATAAATCCAAGGAAATTGCAGTAATTCAAGACCCATCTACATAAACAATTCTGACTATTTTAATGAAGCAGTAACAAATTTATCTTATTACATGTCTACTAAAATATAAAATCCAGTTTCTGAATACCACTTTTTGTTAATTTACATTCATAACTAAATACAAGCACAAGAAAATGAAAAACTAATGATATCCAATATAATAAATACATTCAGAATATAAAAATCTGAATTTTAAAAAACAATCAGAACTTACAAAAATAATATCAATATTCGATTTAGAAACTTCTACTAACCTAACCACATTATCTATCCCCTGTTCACTGCCAGGAATATTTTCAAGCCTCTCAGATGGGGTTCCTAAAACTCTTAATGTTGCTTCAAGATTTACGGAATGTCCTTGAGAAATAGAGTATTCCATAATATCTGATGGAATCAAAGGAGCTTCTCCTTCAGCTTCTTCAGTTAACAGATGCCCTGAAAAATTAAAAATATAAAACTGTAAAAATATATTGTAGCATAACATTTTTTTTAAAATATCTGCTTAATAATGTTAGAAATATCCATAAAGAAAGAGGAAAAAAACTTAGTTAAAAATTCAAGGAAATTTAAGTAACTTCAGAATAGTTACTGGAATATCCTACTATCAAGCATACAAAAAAAAATAAACTTTTAATCAATATCAACTACTACCATAATTTCTTTCTATATTTATATTAAAAATTAATGATGCAATAAACAGCACTACTTTTCTATGGCTCATTAGAAAAACAAAAAGTATTACCTTTTCATGAATTGCATATTATGGAATTTAATTTCCCAAACTCAAAAATATTATTTTATGTTAAATTTTAATTTTTTTTTTTATACACTTTCTATATTAAGTTTACATTTTGCAAAAAAAAAAAAAAAAAAAAAAAAAATACAAAACAAGAAAGATAATTATGTAATATCTTTTTCATAGAACAATACAAGTTATTTATAATGATTTCAAAAATTATCACACAACATTTTGAAAATATCAGCATGTCAAAACATACTGCTTTAAGTTTTAGTAAAGATAACATTAATGTGTTGATGAAAAGAAATAAATTTCCAGAAGTTATACCTGCCAAAAGAATCAACCAATGAAAATCTTCATGTAGCACTTTTAAGTTAGAATCATCTATAGACAACTTGGGACTATTAATATGCTGCGAGGCTCTTTGCTGTTGCCGATGTTGAAGCTGATTATTAAATTGATTTACTCTATCTTCCAGTAATCTACAAAATCAAGAAATAATCCTCAAGTATATTATAAAAACCATTTCAATGAAAAAGGTTGTAAATGTTAAAATAGAAAAATAAATTAAAAATGAATATAACCAAAATCAATTACTATTCAATTAAAAACCTATCATTATTGTACAAAACAGAGATGGATGGGTTTACAAATATTTTTAAGACTAAATGTTTTTGCCAATGAGAAAAACAGTTGAGCCAGGACTGTGTAAACATTTTTAACAAAATAAAAATATTTAAGATGTGATATCTACAAATGACACCATATCTATATGAAAAAAAAAAAAAAGAAAAAAAAAAAGGTCAATACTAAAAAATAAAATTGAAACAACTTCGGGATTTTAAGAGTGAAAGTGTGTGTGTGTGTGTGTGTGTGTGTGTGTGTGTGTGTGTGTGTCTGTATTTAAAATTTGCTATAATAAGGGAAGAGTACTCAGTATCAAACATGGAATTTATAGCTATAAACATTATGGACATAGGATTCAGTATTGTACTGTGACTTCCAGAAGCAAAGAAAAAATACACAAAAGAAAAAATACACAAAAGAAAAATATTAAAAAATAAAATAAATAAATATATAATTAAAATAACCAGTCTAGTGGTCATGACCATAATAACACTAAGCATTAGTCCTAAACAAAAGAACTGAGAAAGGCTGGTTTCCTCCACTTGTGTGTGACTCTTCCATTGCTTTCAATATATGAGGGGTCAGCAGCTCAGTTCTTAGAATCAAACAGCCAGACTACATGCACCACAGTTACATATGATTTGATTATAGTGGTGAAAACTTGTGCAGAACCAAATATACAGAACTGGCACTATATATATAAAAAGTATAGAAATGAGTATTGGCACTATGAGATTGCACTGAGGCTTGAAGCAGTCATCATGCTGTGTTGATGACTATGTTCATATGAGATTATATATATATATATATATAATGTATGAATGACGCTTTTTGTAACCAAAATTAATATCAAAGTTTAATATCAAAGTAAAGCTAATTTACTAGACATTGACTTATGCAAAATGAAAAGAAAGAAAATGAACAGACCAACCAATCTTTAACAAACTCACTTGGCTAACAATGGTACTGTGTGATCTGGTACTAGGCGTCCCAGAGAACCAATACTGCAAAGTTGATCATTGAATTTATCCCTATCATCTTCTTCAAGTTCATCTATTTCCTCATCCTCTGGCACCTCTTCATTACCAATTACCTAAAAAATGAATAAACAGAAAAGAAAAAGAAAAATAATTTCACAATTTTTTATGAAAATGTAAATGCTTTTGTCTCAATGACACGCACATAATGCTAAGCATTTTTATATTTTTCAACAGTTATGCCCCTTACAAAGAAATGGGCTATGTTGCTTCAACATGATCTAATCAATCAACATTTTCTTTTGTTAATCTAAGCAACTTTTTTTTAACTCTTTACCATCCTTCTCTCCCACTTTCTCCATCCACTCATACGAACTGTACACTAAAGTAGGTTACTCACTTTTTCTTTCTGCTTCACTTGCCTTCAATAAGTCCTGTATGTGTTAAATTCTATCGGCTCTATTTTTTTTTATTACATGTCAGAGAAATTTCAATTGTCTCTTTCCGATTTTAAGTATAAGTGTACTTTTAGTTACTATTTTCCTTTTTTTTTTTTCTTTTTATTCTGAATATCCATTGGCTTAAACCACATCTGTCACTTCAAGTCTCTTCTTCATCTGTTCAACATTCATTACTATATAAATTAAGTATTATATAACAGTTCCCTTTTTCTTTTGTTTGAAATTTTCTCATCTCTAAATCTTTTGCTTAGTTTCCAGAAAGCATATTTTGCTATTCCTAAACATCTTCAGATTTCTGTATCACCTTTTTTTGTCTGGTACTACACTACCCAGATAGTTATGTTTCTGTATTTGCTTAATATTAATGTCCCCAAAATACAGCTTGGGTTATCTCTTTTGTATATAATGCTTTCTGCATTTTTTTTTTTTTTTTACAGTTAATAGTCCATTCTTTTTGCTATCCTTTGCTACATTATCTCAGAATTCTTTAAGTTTTCCTATTTAGTTTGCCATCAATACAGTGCTACCTGCAAGATTAAAATTTAAAGTTCATAATTTCTCTTAGGACCAAATAGTTCTGTTAATATCTTTTACAGGGTAAATACTTCCAGTGAGAAAATGCATCCTTGTCTTATACCTCTTTCTATTTTTCTGGTCATTCAACTTATTCTCTATTAACATGCAGGCAGTTTGTTCCCTGTAGATTTCAGATTATTCTAATATATAAATCATGCTTTTCTAATATTTCAAGCAGCTCTTAATGTCATAAGTTATCAACTGCTTTTAATGAACAATGACCAAGGTCTTTCTACATTTACAACAGTAAATGAGGATAGCATTTCTTGTTCTATCGTCTTGAACAAAGCTACAATATTCTTGCCCTATTTCTGCTATAATTCTATAAGCTCTATCCATTAGAATTCTAATTAAGCTGATTGTCCAGTGAAGTTTGCATTCATTTAAACCAGATTTCTTTGGCATCAATATGAGGATAGCAGGTGAGCTGCAGAATGATTGAAATACAATCAAAGATTTAGAAACAAATTTTTAAAAAAATTCATATGCAGCTAAAAAAAAATAAATATGATTTCAAAATTTAAAATTATATTATGGATTATTTGTAATTGCATGCATGAGTCCCAGTATAAATAGTTGTAAAAAATTATTGACCAATTTTATCATTGTGATATTTTTGCATTATATCAAGTATTAAGAATATAGTAACTAGCAGCTGCAAATTGGAGAGTGTTATCAATGATAATATTCTGACTCCAAATCCTCAGTTATCTCCCTTTAACCCTCTCTCACTTTTATTATTTTTACGTGTACTTTTTATCATATAGAATTTGGTACTATGTGAGCAAATTTTCATTCTGAAAATGCAGTCCAGAGAAAAAAAAGTCTATTTAAAATCCCATCTGATTCTGTTACTTTCTTTGTATTCCTCTTGACCAGTGTTAATCTTACCTCAGATATTATAATTCCTTTCATGTTAATATATATTTTAAGTTTCTCTTCTCTGCTGTTATAAAAAGAGTTCTCCAATATGTTTGTACCATCTTTTTCTAGTACAAGTATTCACCTTTTAGATTTTACACATCCTGTTGAGTAGCATGTTTTTTTCCTGTTTGCAAAGACTTGGTAATACAATCAATAGTCATTTTTCATAATAAAACAGAAATAGTATGATCGGTTTTAATTATAACTAAATTCTAATGTTTTAGATTTCCAAATATTCTATCTATATTACTTTATTTTTTATTTTTAAGTTTTTCAAACACACAACTTTTCTCAGAAAAAGGTTTCTTTAAAAAAGCAATAAAACATGATTTATCATGAAAATTTTTTGAGCACTTGTCCTCTTAAATATTTACCTGATTACGCTTTCCTTCATTTACTAAAAGATGAAAACTGCAGATAAGATTTAAAATTTCTATAGACTGTTAGTTTAAAAAAGGTGGAAAATTTCTGGTTTCGAGAACATTTCATTGACAAAGGAAAAGCATTTTAAATGACATGTCTCAATATGAATTGTCTCATCATTTAACCTGATACAATGAAAAAAAAAACAAGTTTAGAGGCTACATACTGTTAATCAAGCCTTTTCTAAGTAATCCAAAAGATACAATATTCACCTATCAAATATGTTTTTAGAATGAGCTCCACAAATTTAATACACAAAATCTTATATTTGAAGGCTATGGATGCAGAGTAATCTATTATATATATTTTTATTTCAAAAAAAAACTAGCAATCTGAAATTTAAATAGAATAATGCAATCTTTGCATAAAGGAAAAAAATCTTAATTAATTGCAAAATATATTGGCCAACTGTTAAAGACAAAAATATAAATGAAATTATTTTCAAATAATGTAAATAAAAACAATATTAAAATTCAAATTACCCTAAAAACATTATTTTGGTTTATCACTTAAATTTTTTTTTTCATTTTATATCATAATTTTTCAATTTACGTGTACACGTGTTTTGTAGGTATGTATAATGTTTATATCGATATTTATATGTGCTTGGATCAATATGTATTTATATTTGAAACTTTTAAATATATATATTTGAATGTTATGATTATCAATTTTTTTGCCTTTATCATATATAAGTTTATTATCTTTATGCAAATATATTTATGATTATTATTTGTAATTATTTATTAAATATTTTTTCATTATTATATTTATCTATATTTACAAATTTTCATTTATTTTTTTATTTTATTATTACTATATTAAGAAAAAATTATCATCATAAATTTTTTTATTAGTTATTATATTTTTTGTTATAAAGATATATATGTGTGTGTATATATAAGTTTTATATTTTCTTATAAGCATACATTTTTTATTATTATCATTAGTATTATAAGATGATGACACCATTTTAACCACTCCTTTTGTGAGCTTTATTTGACATTGTTGTAACTATTTTAAATTTAACCTTTCTATTTCTTTACTTTCTCTTACCTATTATATTAACTTTTTTTTTCTGTTCTCTTGTCATAAGAAAGAATAATTTTCTAGTTCAATTTATTTTTGCTATTGTTTCTTATATTTTTATCTTTTGTATATCTAAATATGCAAATATATTGCTTTTTTCATTTAGTTTAATAGTCTGTCTGATGAGATGAATATAGTCATATTCATCAAAATAAATTAAATACTGACAATGGATTTTTAAGGCACAATTTAAAAATTTTTATTAAAATTTGTTCTGAGAATAAATTTAGTTCAAATATGGAAAAATTCCTCTTTCTAAAATAAAAATAAGATTTACAATTTTATTATGTACATATAAATTTGTATGATCAATAATTTCAAGTAAAGAATTATTTGCTCCATTTATCAATATATTTTTCTTTCTGATAAGTCAAATTTTCAAGATTCAAAATTCTTTTCAATTTTCTTCTTTTTTTATTTTCTTTATATTTATTTGCAAGTTAATGCCGTCATTTGGTTTGATTGTTCCTGTTCATGTAGCTGCTTTGGCAGATATTTCAAAACAAGTAAAGGGGAAATAAGCACCAAGTTCTAAATTGCAAAGCTTTCAAGATATTCATAATACTGGAGATCAATGCTGAAGAAAAGAGAGAAGAGAAAATAAAAGAAAATGAACAGTACATTTCTTCCTTAATACAAATTAAACAAACCAATAACTCAAAAGGTCTTTTAAGTAATAACCAATTAAATAAGATTGATAAAATTACATGGAAATATTTATTAAAATTTGTCATTTTCAACGAAGATTTTTGATCAGGTAGGAGCTTCATTATACACAAAAATAAAAAATTTTTTTTTTAAAACAATAAAAAGGATTGAATAAAATAGGCAAACAATGACCAAATTCAATGTCTAAATGAAACAAGTAAAATTTAACCAAAAATGCCTTGCCAAACAAATAAGATGCTTTTTCAATGTATGAAATAGGAATTGGTTGCGTTTTTTCATCATTTGGGAACACTGCATTTAAAATATATGAGAGACAGGCCAGTTGGGTGAGGCACTGCAGGGAGTGATGGGCCATCTCAGAATTGTGCCGGACTTTCTTGTGAACCTGAAGGTAAATTTATATATTTTAAATGATTTTCTTTGTATTAATTTTTAAAAAAAAATAGAAATAAATACAATCCTCTTGTTACAAAAACAGAAATTTCTCCAAAAAAATTTTGATTTTCTGTAATTTTTTTTTTTTTTTTTGAGCAAACATGTCAACCAAATATTTTTTTTTAAGGATATATCAGTCTTTTTTTCTTTTAATGTCTTGTTTTATGGGCAAAAAAATTGAACTTGTGCAGTAATATTTGATAAATAAAATAAAAACTTACTAACAATTACTCCATAAATATTGTCAAAATTTTAAAAAATTGAGCATTTCCATGGCAATTTCACTGATAATATGAACCAATAAAAAAAAAAAAAAAAAATGACTAAAATCAATAGTAAAAGAATCAAAAAAAAATCTTTAATTTGAATAATAATTGCATAAGATCATCATTTATCAACTTTGTCCCACCAAATGTCATTAAACAAAGAATTATGTTTTTTGTAATTCAAAATGAGGAAATCAATTTTAATGGAAAATTAATCATTAAAAGAAAATAAGATAATTATTAAATATATTTAAATTTAATAAAATTTTTTCC